GCCAGTGCACTCCCATCCCCATTCCCAAGTAATCCCCTGCCACCCTGTGCTGCTAGTTCTGTATCTGCAGTGGGGGAGGGTTCTGGTGCTCATGGAGAGCCTGCTTAAATCCAGCTCCTCATGGGCACTGGCTCCTGCTTGTTGATACAGAGGCAGCAAGGGGGAGAATGCATATAGTCACAAGATTTACCGATAAGCCAAGGCTTATCAATTAATCATGTAGTGGACTATATGCTGACATCCTTAATTTACTTTCCTTTTAAGATATTGTATATCCTGCAACCCCCTTTTCTAACAAAAGGGATCTTCCTATATTTTAATTTGTTGTCAACCAGTGTTTCTCAGTCTCTTGGTTGGCAAGCTAACTGAAGTGCAACATTGCTCTGGCTGTAATTGATGGAGGCTCAGAGAACAGAGGTACTGAGGATGAGTCACTGCAGCTGTAGTTCTCTCATTTAACAAAAGCAAATGCTAAGGAGCAGACCTGGGGAGTGATTACATAGAATGATTAAAGACTTTCTGGCCTCGTTCTTTTAGTGTTTTTATGCCCATAAACAAAGCATTTGGGTGCATAACAAAAGGAAAACAAGCAGCACATTAAATTACCATTAACAGACAACACTAATACCTTTCCTCTCTTCTCTATGAGGGGAGGAGCAGGTGGGCTGCTAGCATAGAGATGGGAGTTATTTCTTCTCCCTACTCTGAGGCTGTGTCTACATTGGCGTGATCTTGAGCCAAAGCAGCCACTTTTGCGCAAAAACATTCTACCTGTCTACACTGGTGGGGAGTTCTTGCACAAGAACACTGACGTTCTAATGTGTGAAATCAGTGCTTCTTGCGCAAGAACTATGATGCTCCCGCTCAGGAATAAGCCCTCTTGCGCAACTGTTCTTGTGCAAGAGGCCAGTGTAGACAGGCAACATGAATTTCTTGCGCCAGAAAGCCCGATGCTTTGACCATCAGAGCTTTCTTGAGCAAGAGAGCATCTACACTGGCATGGATGCTCTTGTGCAAAAGCACATACCAGCGTAAATGCTCTCTTCTGGAGGAGTTTTTGCACAAGAACTCTTCCGCAAAAGAATTCTTGTGCAAGAAGCTCATTTCCTACGTTTCCTAAACAAGAACTATGGCAAAAGGACAGTAACTGACTTGCAGGATAAGCAGAACTGTTGTCAGCAACAGCTAGGATGTATGAATTCAGTTACTGGGCCTCATTTAAATGCTTGAATATTGCCTTGAAGACATTAAAACACTTCAGATTTGATCTGATAAGGCCATTCCACTTTCAGAAGGAGCTGAATCATGATGAGCTCTAACAACCCATATACAAGCCCATGTTGCATGTTCAGCCTGAGCTGACCTCATTCCATGTTCAGAGCTGTTCCTATTTTTTTTTTTAAAGAAACTTGGAATCTAAGTGATGCTTGTTCTTCCATAACTGTGCTCAAAATGTATTTGCAGTTCAGTGCTATTTTGGAGCACTCTGGGGTTTTCGAGGTTTAGGCATGCTTCTGGATGAACCAAAGTCTCTCCTATGGGTAACATATAATGGCTGTTTTCACCAATCTCTTTAATTGGAGGACAATAGGAACATTATTGCTGAATGAATGAACCTTAAGTTGCCTATGTTTTGGATACAGTCCTTGAACATCCTGGTTTGTTGTTCTTTCTAAAGTGGAGTAGTCCTACAACTGCAGCAGGGATCTTCAGCTGAAAAAGGGACCTAAAGGACCCTCAGTGCCCAAACCAAAGGATTAAGGGCCGGACCCCAAACCCACTGAAGTCAATGAAAAGACTCTAATTGATATAAATGACATTTAGCTCATGACCTAAATTCCAGAAAGGTTTATGGGAATATGTTATTTTCCTGTACTCCTGTAACCCCTGCTCCATTATGTTCTTAAATTCTCCTATTGGAGATGTATACAATGTTTTCCAATACTTTGTCTGATCAATTGGTAAAGGACTCATTTAGTCCAGATAATTTTGCTTTCTTGAAAGCACAAGAATGTAGAAGCTTTTCAACATTATGCAGTTTTGATAATATGAATTAAGCAAGGCTAGAACAGCATTTTTTTTATTCCAATTGAAATAAATACTGGAATTTCAAGTAGATTCTGTAAGGTAGATTCTGTCCCACTTTTAATGCTGTTTACTGTATGATCTTCTCTTGAACCAAAGTGAAGATGAGCTCAAGAGACAATCACATATAAAGAAAAATAAGCAATTTCTTCTATCTGCTTCTGACCCAGCTCAATCCAGCAACAATGGCAGCAAATCTCATTTTCCTCTTTTGCTCCTGCTCAGAACAATGGAGTGAAATTGACAAGATTTGTGTCAGGACCAGCTTGCTGATTTTTAAGAGTATGCCACAGCTGAGATAGAGGCACTCATGCTAAGTAAGTTGAGAATTGATCAGAACAGTTTGCAAGTAGGTGTGCATGTACCACCTGCAATAGTGTAGTATGCATTTATGATTTAGCCTCTAAAACAGGAGTGTGCAATAAACCACTTAAAGGCTGAACCCAGTTTGCCAGCTGTGGTTCACCATTCCCAGCCAATAGGAGCTGCAGGAAACAGCACAGACATTTTCGCGATCGGGGCTTTTTTGCGAAAAAGCACGTCTAAATTGGCACGGACGCTTTTCCACAAAAAGTGCTTTTGCAGAAAAGTGTCCGTGCCACTCTAGACACTCTTTTCCGTAAATGCTTTTAACAGAAAACTTTTCCGTTAAAAGCATTTGCGGAAAATCATGCCAGTCTAGACATAGCCACCCTGTTTGTCAGAGTAGTCTATGCAGAGGATATGGAGGCCCAAACAAAGTTTCTGCACCTGAGAAAATAGAGTGAAAACAAGTTGCCTTATTCAGTGCACCAATCCTATAATCTCCTGCATCTTAATTTTTTTCAGTATTAATACTGGAAAAACTTCTTTTGGTCCTGGAAAAAAAAATAAGGACAATGTGAGTGTAAGGCAATTTAGAGACACCTTACCAGGGATGTGCACATCAACCTAAAATATAATTTGCAGGTGCTTCTTCTGAACAATTAAGTTAAATTTTAAACAAACTAATTTTAACATCTAAAAAGCTTGTTATATTCATGTTGAAACTTACTAAAGTTAAGGTTCAAAGAGATGAAATACATAAGTTCACTACATTTCAATAGATTTTGGCCAATATTGGAGGATTGTGACACTTACAAAAAACATCTTAAAAGCAATCCTTGCCTCCTCCCTCCCTCCTGTAGCTTGATTTAATTCTGAATTCTTTCTGCATGAGCGCTGTTCAACTGTATCTACCAAGCACCCCTTTCCGTTTTTTCAGTCTGTTGGGTACAATGTGTATGTCTGCAAGTCAGGACTGCTGGGTTCTCTTCCTAACGTCAAGTCTACCTCGCTTTCAGCAGCTGCGAACCCCCCCCTCCCCCGGTAGAATGGCCAAGAAGTAGTGTGGTGATATCTGTCTGCAAGCCAGTACAATTCGGCCTGGGCCATGTTTCCCTAAAAACTGTGAAGTTTGCAGACGCTCTCAGAAACATGCATGATTTTCCGCAAATGCTTTTAACGGAAAAGTTTTCCATTAAAAGCATTTGCGGAAAAGAGTGTCTAGATTGGCACAGACACTTTTCCGCAAAAGCACTTTTTGCAGAAAAGCGTCCGTGCCAATCTAGATGCGGTTTTGCGCAAAAAAGCGCCGATTGCCATTTTCACGATCGGGGCTGTTTTGCGCAAAACAAACCTGAGCTGTCTACACTGGCCCTTTTGCGCAAAAGCTTTTGCACAAGAGGACTTTTGCCCGAACAGGAGCAGCACAGTATTTCCGCAAGAAGCACTGATTTCTTACATGAGATCGTCAGTGTTCTTGCGGAAATTCAAGCGGCCACTGTAGACAGCTGGCAAGTTTTTCCAGAAAAGCAGGTGCTTTTGCGGAAAAAGTGCCAGTCTAGACACAGCTGTGGATGGATAAGGCGGGATGACCAGCCCCACGCCAAAGCCCGACTGATTTGCCTTCCGAGCTTTGGGGGGGGGGCTCGCACCTTTTCAGCTCTCCCTGCGAGAACTACAACTTCCGGCTTTCCCCCGTCCCCACAGCCTGGCAAGTTTTTCCAGAAAAGCAGGTGCTTTTGCGGAAAAAGTGCCAGTCTAGACACAGCTGTGGATGGATAAGGCGGGATGACCAGCCCCACGCCAAAGCCCGACTGATTTGCCTTCCGAGCTTTGGGGGGGGGGCTCGCACCTTTTCAGCTCTCCCTGCGAGAACTACAACTTCCGGCTTTCCCCCGTCCCCACAGCAGAAAGCGAAGACTGGACCCCGCGGGGGGCTGGGAGGGGCTCCTCTAGGGCCCACCTGCTGCCCGGCCTGAGCGCTGGGCCGCCGAGGAGGCAGCGGGCAAGGGAGGCGCGGGCCG